GAGAGAGAGAGAGAGACAGAGAGAGAGACAGACAGACAGACAGACAGACAGACAGACAGACAAACCGATAGACAGAGAATGACAGAGAATGACAGAGAGAGTGTGGAAGACTAACAAGCACACCCACACACATACAGAGAGAGAGAGAGAGGGGAGAGGGAGGGGGAGGGAGGGATGGAGGGAGATGGGGGATAATGAGACGTACAGAGAGAGAGAAAAAGAGAGTCAGACAGACAGACAGACAGACAGACAGACAGACAGACAGACAGACAGACAGACAGACAGACAGACAGACAGACAGACAGAGAACAACAATAACAGCAGCAACAACAACGACAAGAAGACAAAACCTAGAATTTCATGACCACGCCGGTGGTTTACGTTTACTCAGCAGCAGCAGACACATAATCAAACACGAAACGACACCCTGACAAAGCACAGGGCTACCACCACGCCACGAGGGCCGTACGAGTCCCGGACAACTAACAACCAATAATTTACTATACGTTGACCACCGAGAACCCCGCCGTGTGTCCGGCCACTGACCCCGAGCCCAGTACTCCACCACAGACTACTGGTGGGCAAAATCCGGATAACCTATCCGGATAACAGGATAATTCTCAAGGAAATGTTATCCAAATTCAGACTCTTATCTCTCTTTCCTAACCTGATTGCCGAAGTGGGTGCACCAATTTTTTAAAGAGTAGTTCTTACTCGTTTGTCGAAGTGGTTCTAACCCATTAGCCGAAGCGGTTCATAACACGTCATTTGCCGAGGGGTGCACTAACAATAATATTTTTCCGGATTTGGGTAAAGCGGCTCATTGCCCAGCCCTACCACAGACCTCTGCCGTACCGACCAGCCTCGGCCCGCGTGTGTGCGCGTCCGTCATACACAATAGGGACAAAGCTTTTGGCCTGGACGCTACTGAGTGGTCAGAGCAAGGCACAGAAGTAGGAAATTAGACCAATGGTGCAATCATAACAATGGATGATGAAGATCATCATCATCATGATCACGATGAAATGTTGAACATTTTTTAAAAACATTAAAAAAATTTTTGTCTGTAAATCAAGCAATACTCTCCCCCCTTACTCTGCTTTTTAAACAATGATGATGATGATTATTATTTACATCGCGCTCAACCCCGATTTAAGTACACAGGCTCTGAGCGCTTTACAATACAACAGTCACACAATCGAGCATGAATTGGGAGGACGAAAATGGTCAAAAGTGTCAAAGCTTGCAATGAAAGATGATCTACTAAGTAAAATTATCCAATACGGTGGACTCTCACCGTCAAACCAACTTCCAAATTTCCCTTTCGTGCCTTGCTATTTTTTTTGTATGGAAATGCGTCGCGTTTTTGTTGTTGGCTGGGTTTTTTTCTTTTTCATTGTATTGCCCATGCTAACTGCCCTACATTTACACCCCCCCCC